CTCTACACTGCTCAAAACTCGCGTTTGAATCGTCAGTGGCAAATTCTTTAAATATGAAAACGTACTTACAGTCTGTGTGTCAGAACAGCCGGCATTGTAGTCTACTCTACCAGGATCAGGAAACAGTCCTCCATAAAATGCGCTGCACACATCTGAATATTTGGGTTGAACTGTTCTGGAACAGTGTTGTAAATACAACTTAACCACTGATTTCTCATTGTGTCCTCTTTTGGAAGGCCAAACAAAGTATTTTCGCTTTCACAACAAAACACACAGCGTCACACACGGCATGCTTGAGTGAGCAGCGGCGGGCGGGTTTGAGAACAGCGCGGCCGGCAGATTCGACGAAGGAGCGTCCGGCGGGCTTGCGGCAACCACATGTGACGACCCCGGACTGGACTTCGCTTCGTCCACGGTGAAAGCCGATCCGGCGATCCACAGCAGGAAGTCGATGTATTTCCTCAGCGACCAGCACGGATCGGCTCTCTAGGCATGACGAAGCGGATATCGTCCTCTTTTGGAAGACCAAACAAAGTAGTTTTGCTTTCACAATGAAACACACAGCGTATTCACGACATGGCAGTAGCAACAATACTACAGCGAAAATAAAAGTTACGCCTTCTTTCTTTGCGTGAACATTTTGGTGGTGTTATGCAAATCTTCCCACACCGTGATGTAGACATGTGGGGGCGTGTTTAAACGATCGTTTTAGGTAGGTGTGGTTGACTCTTAACTTTTATAAAGAATATCTCTTTGGATTTGAGACTTTAGTCTTTGCAACTTTACATTTACATTTGCATTTACATTGAGTCATTTAGCAGACGCTTATATCCAAAGCGACTTACAAATGAGGACAATAAAAGCAGTCAAAACTAACAAAAGAGCAACAATATATAAGTGCAAATGACAAGTCTCGGTTAGACTAACGCAGTACATGTAGCAAGGTGTATATATCACACATATACACATACACACAAAGAAAAACAAGTAGATAGAATAGAAAAAATAGAAATTTTTTGTGTTTTTTTTAAATCATGATCTTTACAGATCTTCTTTATGCACCGAGAGCTTGTAACACTTCAAAGAGAAAGGAAAAATTTAAATCGCATCATATGACCCCTTTAGTTAAACTGTGGCCACATTGTACTGATTTATTCCCTCATATTAGTCATTTTGGCAATTAATTTGGCCACAATACTGTATCTTTGTTACGGTAATGTTCTTTTAGTTTGTTTCACATCACCTTCCTGCATCCTTTATTCTAGTTTTCCCACCAGCCATCAGTCACCATGGACATTCATTAATCAGCACACCGGTTCTCACTTTAGTTTGTTATCACCGATCTAATGCAATAAAATTCATACACTTTTAGGAGTGGCTTAAATGTCCAAATACTTTTTGCGGTTGCATATACACACAAGTATCATTATCAATCAGTTATATCAATCAGTTATGTCAAAGTTATGTCATTTTGAGCTTTGAGAAACGTCACATGATTAATTCTAACTGCACTGTCAACTGAGACACTGTAATTTACAGTAATTTATAGCCTGTCTTTGATTGGAATGGGTTTATATTACCTGCAATATATGCTGCAACTTCATCACACGCTTGTAGATTTGAGAGTTGGGAACGTTGTAGCGTTTTGCGTTCTCAAACATCAGGTTGAGGTCTGTGTCTATCTGTTCCACACTTTCATATTCACTGCTCTTCATCTTGCTCCTGAGGAAAGATAAAATACTTCATAGTATGTTCGAAACCAAAGACCTTGCAGTGATGGTGTCCTACTGTACCTTATCTGCTGGAGGGAGATTGGGTGGCTGATTTGCTGGAAGTAGTTGGGGTAGTCTTTCCTGGAGGGAAGCTGAAAGAAGGGCTCGGCTAAAAGCTGTCCCTGGTTGTTCCTACAGCCCCGCACTGCCTCGTACATCTGGAAGATGGGGTTGCTCATGTCCATGCTGGAGTGGATGCTCTCGGCCTCTGACTCGCCCTCATCATAATGAACAGAGCCTTAAGAACATGGAAACACTCATCTAATTAGTATATAAGCCAATAATATATTGATGTTACATCTCTTCAACAGTGTTGCTCTATACATATACCATCATGTGTGACGTACCAGTTAGTATGGCATCCTCTTCACTCTCTGAGCCATACTGTAGAGCAGTAGTGATGGAGGAGAGTCGGTCTCCCTGTCCAAACCTTCTGTTCCTGTTCACAAACACCAGTGCAAATACAACACTGTATGTCAGAATATAAATGTTTTTTTTTGTTGATTTCACCTTTATTTATTTAACCAGGCAAATTAATTAAGAACAAGTTCTTATTTTCAATAACAGCCTGGCAGACAAAGTGTTTTGATAAAAAGTCAAATGTTAAACCCAACACAGTGGTGGCACCCCAGGACAGTGATGATGTTAGATGGTAAAATCATGACACTGTTATATATTTTATAGCACTGAAAAATACTTAAAAGAATACCATGGTATCACAATGCTACATGCCTATAAAAGCTGGTAACACATTGCTGCTTTTTGTTACTTTTTATAGTATTTTTTTCTAAATTAAAATCAAACGTATTGTTGTAAAACTTATTGTTTGTAATTCGTCTTCATAATTATTTGGGACTAAAAGATACAATCTTATGTAAATACAATATAATTTTTTTTGCATTCAATTATTATCATAAAAGCTTATTTTTGAATATGTTATAATTTATTAATAACTATAGTTAAGAAATTGTATTATATTAGATTATAGCTAACTAACAAATTGTGGTAAAACGTTATGTTATACATAACTTATCCTGATGCTGGAAACATATTTGATTTATGTCACGCCCATGGACTGTTTTGTGTTTGTTTTTCCTCCCCCACGTACGGTGGCCGAGAAGTTCAAAACAAATCACAATTCTGAAAACAAAATAACAGTTTAAATGTATTGTATGTATTGCCCTTACTATGGAATAAAAAATAGTGAGTGTCTATTTACATTTAGTTAAAAGTGGCTATAAATCATCAGCTCCAGTGGTGGAGATGGATTAGCATGTGTTGTTGGCTTTTTGACGTGATCGACCCGGGTTCGATCCCGCCCGGCAAAAGGTGGGATCGAACCCGGGTCGATCGAGTCAAAAAGCCAATGACACTTTTAACTCAATGTAAATATACACCCCGTATTTTTTATTCCATAGTAAGGGCAATTCATACAATACATTTAAACTGAGCTACTTTAATACCA